GTGACCGTGATGGTGACGGTGATGGTGACAGCAGTGGTTGTGTCTACAGTGTGACCGTGACGGTGACGGTGACAGCAGTGGTTGTGTCTACAGTGTGACCGTGCTGGTGACGGTGATGGTGACAGCAGTGGCTGTGTCTACAGTGTGACCGTGATGGTGACGGTGATGGTGACAGCAGTGGCTGTGTCTACAGTGTGACCGTGCTGGTGACGGTGATGGTGACAGCAGTGGCTGTGTCTACAGCGATGGCGGTGAAGACAGCGGTGATGTGAGTGGTGATGGTGACGCAATGGTGGTGATGGCGACGGTGGTGACAGTATAGTGGTAATGCTGCTGCTGGTGATGAAAATGATGATGGTGATGTGAGTGTTGGTGGTGACGGCAGTCATGGAGGTGGTGGCAGTGATGGTGGTGATAATGGTAATGCTGGTGGTGGGTGAGGATGATGGTGATGATAGTGATGACGGTGATGGTGGCCACGATGGTGGTGGTGATGGCGATGGTGGCAGTGGTATAATACTGGTGATACTGGTGGTGGCGGTGAAGATGATGGTGTTGGCAATGATAATGGTGATGGTGGTGGTGGTGATACTGGTGGTGATGGTGAAGGCAGTGGTGGTGATGATGGTGATGGTGATGGTGATGGTGATGGTGGTGATGGTGATGATGGTGGTGATGGTGGTGGTGATGGTGGTGATGGTGGTGGTGATACTGGTGGTGATGGTGAATGCAGTGGTGGTGACGATGGTGATGGTGGTGGTGGTGATGATGGTGGTGGTGATGGTGGTGGTGATGGCGATGGTGGCAGTGGTATAATACTGGTGATACTGGTGGTGGCGGTGAAGATGATGGTGTTGGCAATGATAATGGTGATGTTGGTGGTGATGGTGGTGATGATGGTGGTGGTGGTGATACTGGTGGTGATGGTGAAGGCAGTGGTGGTGACGATGGTGATGGTGATGGTGGTGGTGATGGTGGTGGTGATGGTGATGGTGGTGGTGGTGATGGTGGTGGTGATGGTGAAGGCAGTGGTGGTGACGATGGTGATGGTGGTGATGATGGTGGTGATGGTGGTGGTGATGGTGATGATGGTGATGGTGATGATGGTGGTGATGGTGGTGATGGTGGTGATGGTGATGGTGGTGGTGATGGTGGTGGTGATGGTGAAGGCAGTGGTGGTGACGATGGTGATGGTGATGGTGGTGATGGTGATGGTGGTGGTGATGGTGGTGGTGATGGTGAAGGCAGTGGTGGTGACGATGGTGATGGTGATGGTGGTGATGATGGTGGTGATGGTGGTGGTGATGGTGGTGGTGATGGTGATGGTGGTGGTGATGGTGGTGATGGTGAAGGCAGTGGTGGTGATGGTGGTGATGGTGGTGGTGGTGGTGATGGTGATGGTGGTGATGGTGGTGGTGGTGATACTGGTGGTGATGGTGAAGGCAGTGGTGGTGATGATGGTGATGGTGATGGTGGTGGTGATGATGGTGGTGATGGTGGTGGTGATGGTGATGATGGTGATGATGGTGATGGTGATGATGGTGGTGATGGTGGTGATGATGGTGGTGATGGTGATGGTGGTAGTGATGGTGATGGTGGTAGTGATGGTGGTGGTGGTGATGGTGGTGATGGTGGTGGTGATGGTGGTGGTGGTGGTGATGGTGGTAGTGATAATGGTGGTGGTAATGGTGGTGGTGGCGGTGGTGGTGATGGTGGTGATGGTGGTGGTGGTGATACTGGTGGTGATGGTGAAGGCAGTGGTGGTGACGATGGTGATGGTGATGGTGGTGGTGATGATGGTGGTGATGGTGGTGGTGATGATGATGGTGATGGTGATGATGGTGGTGATGGTGGTGATGATGGTGGTGATGGTGGTGGTGGTGGTGATGGTGGTAGTGATGGTGGTGGTGGTGATGGTGGTGGTGATGGTGGTGGTGGTGGTGATGGTGGTAGTGATGATGGTGGTGGTAATGGTGGTGGTGGTGGTGGTGATGGTGGTGATGGTGGTGGTGGTGGTGATACTGGTGGTGATGGTGAAGGCAGTGGTGGTGACGATGGTGATGGTGATGGTGGTGGTGATGATGGTGGTGATGGTGGTGATGGTGATGGTGGTGGTGATGGTGGTGGTGATGGTGATGGTGGTGATGGTGGTGGTAGTGATGGTGGTGATGGTGATGATGGTGGTGATGGTGGTAGTGATGATGGTGGTGGTAATGGTGGTGGTGGTGGTGGTGGTGATGGTGATGGTGGTGGTGGTGATACTGGTGGTGATGGTGAAGGCAATGGTGGTGACGATGGTGATGGTGATGGTGGTGGTGATGGTGGTGATGGTGATGGTGGTGGTGATGGTGATGGTGGTGATGGTGGTAGTGATGGTGGTGATGGTGATGATGGTGATGATGGTGATGGTGATGATGGTGGTGATGATGGTGGTGATGGTGATGATTGTGATGGTGATGGTGGTGGTGATGGTGGTGATGGTGATGATGGTGGTGATGGTGGTAGTGGTGATGGTGGTGGTGGTGGTGATGGTGGTGATGGTGATGATGGTGGTAGTGATGATGGTGGTGATAAACATGATGATCAAGAAGGTAATAATGGCTATAGCAAAAAAATACTTTAAGGATCTCCATCCACTTCGCAATCTTTTTCTGTGAGCTCTCAGAGGTAACTCTAATGGCTAAATGACAGGGCCTCTCAAGAATAATGACACAGAGAACTCATTTTTCATGTGATGTCGCTCTACTTGTCTTCCAAAAGCTTGCCATCCTCATCCTCATTGAAAGGTGGCCTGGAGAGGGTGGTACAGGCTGGGGACTGGGGAAGGGATGTGGAAATGCTGCCACTGGGCAAAGGACTCAGGATGTCAGGCCTCAGGATAGGCCCGTGGGCCCTGGAGAACAGCCAGAAGGGCAGGAGACACTCCCACGCCTGGAGGCAAGAATGTGGTGACACTGGCCCGCATGGTACAGCCCCAGAAGGGCAGGAGACACTCCCACACCTGGAGGCAAGAATTGGTTACACTGCCCCGCATGGTACGGCCCCAGAAGGGCAGGAGACATGTCCTGGCAGGTGGCCTGTGGGGACAGGGACAGCTGCAGCAGGAATGGAAGGAAAGTTAATATGCTTCATATATAAATCCTAACAATGGCTCAGAGCCCCGAGTCTGCCAGATGAGGAAACTAAGACCCTGGAGGTGAGGTGTGTCACCCCCAGCAGGGTGGAGGGCTTCAGCGCAGGAGCTCATGCTCCTGACCACTGGACAATCCTGCCTCCCAGCAGAGGCCAGGAGGACTGGGGAGAGGGGAAGCCTAGGGCCCCAGGAGAGAGAAATCCTGGGTCTTCTTCGTCCGCAGACCCCTCAGTGCCAGTGTTGTGGCTGAGTGTCAATCACGACAGCCGCCCATTCCTGCAGGGCTGCGGACCACGCCTGCCTCACAGAGAGCTCCTGCCCTCCCCACTGCCCCAGGAGTAAGCACCACTGTTCAATGACAAAGAAGCTGACCCAGGCCCAACCCTCCTTGGCCACTGGGTGGCAGGGGCAGGTCTCAGGGACACTGGTGCTCAGACACCCTCAGCTTTAGAACCACTGCCCAGAATGCCAAAAACAAGACCACGGGCCACAAAGACATCCTCTAGCCACGCCAACCCTCTGCCTGCCTGGGACCAGATGGCCGCAGGAGGCCAGATCCCCAGGAGGTCATAGTGAGTGAGAACAGCAGCCATGCACAGATGGTGCAGCTGAGGGGCCGGGAGCCGGGGGGGGCTGTGGCCACCGCTCAGGATCCTTCCTCTGGGGTTGGGCAGCCCACAGCTCCCCGTGCCCAAGGCCTTGGTCAGCATCTCCCTGTCTCTCGCCAGCTGCCCTGGAAGGCTAGGCTTTGAACACTCCTCCCCAGCAATTATGGAGAACAGCCACATAACAACATGCCTAGGCACATTGCACAGCCTCTGGAAAGTGGCCACTGTCCACTGCGAAGTCCCTCTTCCTATTGCAGTGACCCCAGGTAAGTAGCCAGCTAGGGGGCAGGTCTGGGCTCTAAGTGAGTCTCTGAAGCAGCTGGCCCCAAATCTATTCTCACAGCAAAGGCACTGGCCCTGGCTCGCTCTCACCCCACTCGAAGTCCTCCTGCTGCCTCTTCCTTTGAGTTTAGCTAATGGGCCCTCAGTGAAGGTAAAGGGGGTTTCAATCCCTCCGAGACTGCCAGCCAGGACCAGGACTGCATGCCACCTGACCCCCACCAGCTGCTCGAACACGCTGTGTTCCACAGGAGCTTCTGGGAAAAACACCGCCTGTGAGCACATACTGGAGCACACCGTCCATTGTGGGAGGAAGACGGCCAGGGAAGACCCTGTGCTGGGGAGAACCTCTGTACTGGGGAGCACTCCTGAGTTGGGGAGCACCCTTGCATCAGGGAGGACTCCCAGACAGGAAGGGGATGAACCTCTCAGCAGAGGGGAGGTTCCAACACCTCCTGGAGCTGGTCTTGGAGTTCATTTTTTTGGAAGGCACTCCAGGTCAGTCCCTAAACTCTCCCCCACTGACTGCTGCCAAAGACTCCATGGGGAGGCACACCTCCCTTTTAGGGAAGCCCCGAGCTTCTGGCATGCTCAGCAGAAATGCCGCATTAACTAACCCCAGCATGCTACAGTCACCTGCCAACCCTGAGGCATAGAAAGGGACATGAATGGGGCAGGGCAGAAAGGGCCTGTGGGTGGTGGAGGCATCCCCGAGGCACGAGGGCCAGGGAGCACCAAGGGCAGGAGAGGATGGTCAGTGCCGTCCCAGCTTCAGGGCAGCCAGTCTCTCAGCAGCGAGGCCAGGCCCCATGGCAGGCTCACCAGAGGTTCACCAGGAAGACATGCTCAATCTCCTGCAGGATCTCCAGCTCCCGGAAGACGTTGCGGACCTCGTCCCGCTCGATGCACTGTTGCTTGTTCATGTATTTCATGGCATACATCTTCTCCGTGTCCCGCTTCTGCACGATGCACACCTGGAGGACACAGGCTGATCGGCAGGACGCCTGGGATTGCACGGGGATGGACGCCTGAGGATGCCTGGGGACCCACCACAGTCCCTCCACTGCCTGGACGCAGCAGATGCTTTCCTCTGCCACATACAGTAACGTATTTGTTCTGGGGATTAGGACACGGATGTTTTGGGGGCCATGATTCTGCCCCCAGAAGTTCCTGTATTGCTTAGTGTGTGGCCCTGGAGACACCTGTCTCAGTCACATCCTGGCTCCGTGGCTGTTCTTGGAGACCTCTCCCTGAGATTCAGTCCTGTTGTGAAGCAAAGTGGTGACCCTCCCTCCCTCCAGGGGCCTCTGGGAGTCAAACTGTGAGAGCACAGGCTAGCCCAGACTAGGAAAGCGTGTCTGATTGTGCCAAGCAGTGGCCTGAGTGGATCCAGGGGCAGCCCCGTGGCACAGGAGACAGTGGCTTGGTCTGGCGCATGGGCACTAAATGTGGCCTCTCCAGGAAGCTGGCACCAGGCATGGCCTCAGCACCACCCTGCCCGGTGGGTGGGGAAAGCTGGGCCTGGAGGGACAGGAAGTACCCTGTGCTGGGGGCTACCCAGAGGCATATGTGCTGATTGGGGCTCCTGAAAATGTGGCCACACCTGCCCAGGAGTGGGGACAGTGCAGGCAGCACAGCAAGAACAGGCAGAGGCTGAGCTTAAACAAGGCCACCTTGGGAGGGCTGGGCGGGATTTCTCCTGAACTGCCTACATTTCCTATAACCACGTTTTAAATTATTATGTTGAAAGTCAGTTGAAGGTTTCTGAATGACAATGAGTGTAAGCAGCAGCAGCCCCTGGCCACCCACTTCAGCCCCGAGGCCCCTCTCCTGCTGCTTCCCGCTGCCACCAGGGCAGAGTGGCGTGGCTCAGCAGCACGGCCTCCCTCCCATGCACCTGCCCGCAGGGGGCAGAGTCCCGTCCTCCAGACAGAAACCCCAGCCTCACTTGGCGCAGGCACAGAAGGAGCAGAGCCTGCCCGCACCTGCCCCAGAGCTCATGCCCTCCTGCACAGGGCCACTGGATGCCCGGGGCAGCAACCACAGGTCCAGAAACTGCTCCAGAAAGGCTGGTTCCTGCCCGGGGCTGGGACAGGACAGGCTGTGAGACGAACAGGGTGGAAAAACCAAACCCCTACCCTCTGCCCTCAGGAGCCTGGCTTGGGGGCACTGGCTGAGCCCAGGGCTTTTGCTTCTGCTGGGAAGCTGGGGCGGGGCTGCCGAGCCCACCTCACACAGGGTCTGCCCGGGGCAGTGCCTGCACCTGCTGCCCAAGGCCCTCTCCGGCAGTCTGAAGCCCCAGGCTTTGTGAGCCGCCCCAGAAAGCTACCTGCCTGAGTGACCCAACCCTCTCTGGGGTCCTGCTGCCCTGCCTGCTCATGTTGCAGGTCAGCTCTCAGAGGGGATCTCTGGAAGAACACGCCTTCCCTTGGGGTGCTGAACTCCCACAGCCCACTCACCAGGGGACAGGTGCTCCTGGCTTCCCATGCCCTCTGGGCCCAGCCACAGGGGCAGTGGACACCAATGGGTGTCTACTCCAGACGGGTCCTCACCCTCCCACTGGGCAAGCACATCCAGGACCACCCCCTCTCCCAAGGCTGTGGCCTGGGCTCCGTCTGGGACCGGTCCTTGGCCCTGTGACTGGAGCCTGCTCTCCCGGTCATACACGTCCAGTCACCCGTGGCCAGGGAGCAGAGACAGAAAAGCCACCTGGGTTCAGGGCCTGGCCTCACACACCCTGGCTCCTTTGTCCACCACAACAAAGCAGCAGATCCGTTTCCCTCCAGCCTCAGTTTCCCCACCTGTGAAACAAACTGCCGTGGATGGTGGCACCATCAGCCACGATCCAAGTCCCTGTCCTGGCCCTGTGGGAGGAGCTGCCCTGGGGCGCAGGGGAGAGGTAGGGTCAGACCCAGGTGTCCCGAGGCTTTGGGCTCTGTGTTCTGGAACATTCTTAGCTCAACTGCAATTCAAGAAAAGTTCGTAAGTCTCTCTATGTGGCAGCAGCATGCAGGGTACTGGCGGTGCAGGGTGAGGTGCCATGCCGCTCCCTGGGACCCTCAGGAGAATGCCTCGACCCCCTGCAGTACACCCAAGTGTGTCCTCAAAAGACATGGCCACACTCACAGGCCACCAGGAGCCTTGGAATGTGGCCTTACTGGGAATAAAGTTCTTTGAAGGTATAATTGAGGATCTGGAGGTCTTGAATCAGGATGGGCCCTAACACCAACCACAGGCATTCTTGTAAGAGGCAGAAAAGAGAAGATGTGACGCAGGCATGGGGGTGAGGTGGTGTGAAGGTGGAGCAGAGCCAGCCTGGGGATGGGGGATGGAGTGACGTGGCTGCTAGCTGAGGACACCAGCAGTGGCCAGCAGTCCCCGGACGCCAGGAGAAGCACAGAGGGTCCTCCTACCAGGGCCTCCCAGCAGCCCCCAGACGCCATGGGAAGGCACAGAGGGTCCTCCTACCAGGGCCTCCCAGCAGCCCCCAGACGCCATGGGAAGGCACAGAGGGTCCTCCTACCAGGGCCTCCCAGCAACCCCCGGACGCCAAGAGAAGCACAGAGGGTCCTCCTACCAGGGCCTCCCAGCAGCCCCCAGACGCCACGGGAAGGCACAGAGGGTCTTCCCACAGAGCTTCCCAGCAGCCCCCGGACGCCAGGAGAAACACAGAGGGTCTTCCCACAGAGCTTCCCAGCAGCCCCCGGATGCCAGGAGAAGCACAGAGGGTCTTCCCACAGAGCTTCCCAGCAGCCCCCGGATGCCAGGAGAAGCACAGAGGGTCTTCCCACAGAGCTTCCCAGCAGCCCCTGGATGCCAGGAGAAGCACAGAGGGTCTTCCCACAGAGGATCTTCCTACCGGGGCCGTGCAGAGGAACCACCCTACCAGATGTCAGGCTTCCCATCACCAGAATGACAAGAAACTTCTGCTATTTGCAGAAAACGAGGTGTGGAACTTTGTTCTGGGAAGAAACTCACCTTCTCCGTGCCTCCAGTGTACAAGCATCCCTGAAAACACCCTGCGTGCTTGGGCATCTGCAGCCACGTCTGCGGGCAGCAGCCTCACCCGAGCACATGCTGCGCCCTCACCCGAGCACCTGCTCTCTCCTTGCCACCTGCCAACCCAGCAGTCCACTTCCCCCAACCTCCCCCATCATTTTCCCACCCAGGACAGCAGGCAGGGTCCTGGCCCTGCCTCTTGTTATCAGGACCCGCCCTGAGGCTTGGACGGTCAGGCACACTCAGGTGGTTTGGGTGCTGTGGGGTTTGGACGATCAGACACACTCAGGTGGTTTGGGTGCTGTGGGGTTTGGACGATCAGGCACACTCAGGTGGTTTGGGTGCTGTGGGGTTTGGATGGTCAGGCACTCGGGTGGTTTGGGTGCTGTGGGGTTTGGATGGTCAGGCACACTCAGGTGGTTTGGGTGCTGTGGGGTTTGGATGGTCAGGCACACTCAGGTGGTTTGGGTGCTGTGGGGTTTGGACGGTCAGGCACACTCAGGTGGTTTGGGTGCTGTGGGGTTTGGATGGTCAGGCACTCGGGTGGTTTGGGTGCTGTGGGGTTTGGATGGTCAGGCACACTCAGGTGGTTTGGGTGCTGTGGGGTTTGGATGGTCAGGCACACTCAGGTGGTTTGGGTGCTGTGGGGTTTGGATGGTCAGGCACTCGGGTGGTTTGGGTGCTGTGGGGTTTGGACGATCAGGCACACTCAGGTGGTTTGGGTGCTGTGGGGTTTGGATGGTCAGGCACTCGGGTGGTTTGGGTGCTGTGGGGTTTTCCCTCGAAGTGGATTTGATGAAGTCAATCACATCATCGTGCTCTCAGGTAAAGACACAGAGAAAAGGTTTGGGTCAAAAGCAGGCGGGTCTCAGGCCTGACAGAGGAGGCTCCAGTTAGTGGTGCCATCAAGCCCTGGGGTTGGTGCAGTCTCTGTCTGGAGGGACCTCGGCACCGGAGATCACGCAGAGCAGTGTTTACAAAAAAAAAAAACTGGAAAGCCGGTGGGCGGCCTTCTCTGACCAAGCCTGGGGGCTGAGGCAGGCAGGCCCGACTCATCCGCTTCCTCCAGGAAACCGGTCCCTGCCTTCCTGGATGCTTCCTCTGAACATCGACTTAAGCTCACGGAGGAAATGGGTTTAGAGAAAATGGAGTTAGAGGAAACAGAATTAGAGGGAACGGAGTTAGAGGTCTTGCCATGAAGAGGAACAAGTCTGCCCAGGCTCGGGAGCCCTGGCTTTTCCTGTGAAATGCCACTGACGGGGAGGCCACGGCACCACTTGGAACAGGCCACGTGACGGCCATTTCAACTGAATGCTGTTTACACATTTGCAGATTTAAGTGATTCACCCAAGCTCTTTCTCTTTCCAAGTAATTCTTGTTCCCCAGAAAGCAAATGCCTACGACCTCTAAACGGCATAATGAAAGCACCTCCTAACCCTACCTGGGGGAGCTTCTAACATCCCAAGGAGAGGTGGAGCCTGGGGACGCGGGGATAGCAGGGTGGGACAGGGCAAGGCAGGCTCTCCCCCAGGGATCAGTGCCAGGCACCACAAAAACAGGAGGGCCAGTACCCAGGACAGGCCTGGAGAAGGTGTCTGCAGCAGCTGAGGAAGGGACAGCCTGGCATGGGGCCTCCAGGGAGGGTGCTGGGGTCAGAGGAGTCCCCCAGGCAGAGCTGGGCTCCCATGGACTCCAGAGGCTGCTCCACCTCCCTCTCTCCTCCTGCCGCTCCTGAAAGCCCCCTGAAGTTTTTTTCTTCATGTCTCTGAGAAGCTGTGTCCACAGGCTACTTGTCCCAGGCCCCTCTCCCCAGCTGAGCTCAGTATTCTCATATGGTGAGTGGGAATCAGCTTTGGGGTTTCAGTTTTCCCCAACACTAAGTGGCTGCTTCCTAGGCCATGGCCGGTGAAGTTAACGAGGCTACAAACCTCTCAGAAAGAGGTGGGCATGGGCAGGTCCACCGAGGGGCCAGGGCGGCAGCTGTAGCACCATGCTACCGAAGGCACCGCGTGATGCTGAGGTTCTTCTTACATCCGCTGCAGGTTGGAGGGGAGAGTTTGTCCCAGGAGGTTAGGAACCCCGTGCCCTGTGACTGTCAGGTGTTGGTGGTTGGGCAGGGCACCCAGACCACTGGCTTCCTGGGGACGGAGCACCTCCCATGCCCACACTTGCAGGGACGCTTGTTCTCCCATCTAAATTCAGAACATGGCCACAGGGCTAAGCACACAGCTGGTGACTGCAGGACAGCCCCTTGGCAATGGCTGCCATCCCTCAGCTGCTTCATGCTGGCTGGAACATCACTGGGCATGGAAGAACAGATGGGCTGTGGTGCCGTCTGAGTCCTTGCTACTGTGGAATCCTGTTTTCTGGTGGTTGCACACAAGCAATCGTTCTGACGAGGTGTGGAATTCTTGGCTAACTCATATCTTCATACAGAGCCCGGAGATGCCGCTCCTGAGTGGCCGAGAACCTGTGGCCACACAGACTCTCCCGTGGCCTATAACCAAGGCTCTTAGCACTTTGCCTGGCTACTCCCAGCTTTCCCCCTGCCCAGGAGTTAGGACCTGCGTGCAGGGATGTCGCAGCCTGTGATCCGTCTTGGGGGCCTCCATCCATGCTGCCCGAGCTTCCCAGCTGCTTCAGGGGAGCTCTGCCAGCTGTTTCTCCCTTGCACTCTCCTGATACCTCCCGACACATCCCCGAGTCCCAGGCTGTACCTCCATGCCCCTTCCTCACCTGCCACATCCCCAGGCCTTGCTGCAGTCCCCTCTGAAACACAGGGCTCCTCTGGCAGGTTTGCCCAGCTTCCTTTCTCTGCCATGCCCTGCTGCTAGGTGAGGTCTCTATGAATTCTTGGGGGGGTCTCTGGCTGGCCCTTGGCTCACAATCAGCACTCCCTCTCAGCTGTTTCTGCAATGCTGTGAGCTGGAAGGGTTTCACCCTCCACACCAAGCCCCATGCTCTGTATGGCCCCTCACGCCATGGCTCTCCCCTACCTGCTCGGAGAGTGGTGGGAGGCCAGGGCCAGTGTGGCCGCCATCCATTCCCATCAGGCAGGGCCCACCTCTTCTTGCTTCTCTGGCTGCCTCAAACCTGTGGCTCTTGGGAGCTGCCAGGGGGTCCTGGGGGGCTGGAGGTCAGGTAAAGATAGGAAGTCTATGCTGTGCACATGGGCTCATTTGTTACAGCAGCCAGTGGACACTTATGCAGTATGCCCACCACGGCAGGTGGGAAGCTCGTGTGGCATGTGCACCACGGCAAGTGACGTGGCTGTGATGGGACTGAGGGGAGGGAGGCACATGGCACAGGGGATGCCAGACATGGTTGGGGAGAAAGGGAGGTGAAGCTGTGACTGGTGTGAGTGGTGTGAGCCGTGTGAGTGGTGTGAGTGGTGTGAGCTGCGAGAGGTGTGAGTGGTGTGAGGGTGTGAGCTGCGAGAGGTGTGAGTGGTGTGAGGGTGTGAGCTGTGAGCTGTGAGTGGTGTGAGCCATGTGAGAGGTGTGAGTGGTGTGAGGGTGTGAGCTGTGAGCTGTGAGAGGTGTGACTGGTGTGAGCTGTGAGTGATGTGAGGGTGTGAGCTGTGAGAGGTGAGTGGTGTGAGGGTGTGAGCTGTGAGAAGTGTGAGTGGTGTGAGCTGTGAGAGGTGTGAGTGGTGTGAGCTGTGAGAAGTGTGAGTGGTGTGAGCTGTGAGAGGTGTGAGTGGTGTGAGGGTGTGAGCTGTGAGAGGTGTGAGTGGTGTGAGTGGTGTGAGCTGTGAGTGGTGTGAGCCATGTGAGAGGTGTGAGTGGTGTGAGGGTGTGAGCTGTGAGTGGTGTGAGAGGTGTGAGTGGTGTGAGAGGTGTGAGTGGTGTGAGGGTGTGAGGGTGTGAGCTGTGAGCTGTGAGAGGTGTGAGTGGTGTGAGGGTGTGAGCTGTGAGAGGTGTGAGTGGTGTGAGCTGTGAGTGGTGTGAGCTGTGAGAGCTGTGAGTGGTGTGAGGGTGTGAGCTGTGAGTGGTGTGAGGGTATGAGCTGTGAGTGGTGTGAGCTGTGAGAGCTGTGAGTGGTGTGAGGGTGTGAGCTGTGAGAGGTGTGAGTGGTGTGAGCTGTGAGTGGTGTGAGCCATGTGAGAGGTGTGAGGGTGTGAGCTGTGAGAGGTGTGAGTGGTGTGAGGGTGTGAGCTGTGAGTGGTGTGAGGGTGTGAGCTGTGAGTGGTTTGAGTGGTGTGAGCTGTGAGTGGTGTGATCCGTGTGAGTGGTGTGAGCTGTGAGTGGTGTGAGCCATGTGAGTGGTGTGAGCTATATGAGTGGTGTGAAACATGTGAGCCATGTGAGTTCTGTGAGTGGGGTGAACCATATGAATGGTGTGAGCTGTGAGTGGGGTGAACCATGTGAGTGGGGTGAACCATGTGAGTGGTGTGAGCTGTGAGTGGTGTGAGTGCTGTGAGTGGTGTGAGCCGAGTGAGTGGTGTGAGGGTGTGAGCTGTGAGAGGTGTGAGTGGTGTGAGTGGTGTGAGGGTGTGAGCTGTGAGAGGTGTGAGTGGTGTGAGTGGTGTGAGAGGTGTGAGCTGTGAGAGGTGTGAGTGGTGTGAGCCGTGTGAGAGGTGTGAGCTTTGAGTGGTGTGAGCCATATGAGCCATGTCAGTGGTGTGAGCCACGTGAGTGGTGTGAGCTGTGAGTGGGGTGAGCCACGGGAGTGGAATGAGCTGTGTGAGTGATGTGCCACCCTTGATGCCAGAAGCAGGTCAAACAGATATATTAAAAGAAATCAATGGAAATATGAACCAAAATCTTTTTGACAAGGGACATATCTAGGGAGAAGGAGGCGGCAGGAGGAAAGGACAGTGCTGGGGCCTCCAGGTGACATGGGCAGCAGAAGCAGATGGGAGGCTCAGGACACGGAGCCACCTGGGCCCTCAGCAAGCAAACAGCAAGGACTGAGGGCCCCCAGAGTGACCGCCGCTCAGGGCCACCTTGCTGCATAGACTCATTCAGATCCTGACTCAGAGAAGCAGTGAGGAGACACTCACAGGCCCTGGAGACGCAAGCCCAGCACAGTGTGATGGATACTCAGAGAAACAGTGAGGAAACACTCACAGGCCCTGGGAGACGCAAGCCCGGTGCGGTGTGACGGATCATAAGGACTGCTGTTTCAGGTGTGAAGATAGCATGGTGGTGGCTAAGAAGAGGGTCCTCATCTTTAAAGATACACACTAAAATACCGACGGGTCAAATTATGTGCTCTCTGGAAATCATTTCAGATACCCAGGGCATGGCAGGAGGCAGGCAAAGGTTGTGGCTAAACAGGATGGGCACCGCGTCGGTTCCTGGTGAGACCAGACCCAGGTGTTTGCGGGGATCACGGAGCCCCTCTCGATAGCATGTGAGTTGTACCTTCTAAAAGCTAAAAGAGACTTGAGGTGATGCTTCTGTGGCCCAAAGCCCATGTGTGAGCCTCAGTTAGGAGCACAGAAAGGACCCCTGGCCACTTCCCCAGGGGCCAGAGCCTACGGACGGCCTGGTCAGTGGAGGGACGTGGCCAGTGCTGGCATCTGGGCTCTGGGCCCAAGGGGAGGCCCGACAGCCCCAGAAATGGCCAGCAGTGTCCCTGCAGTCCTGGATGCTGACCACCTGTCCTGAGGCTCCCACATAGGGTGACCTGATGGGGAGGCCAGGGACTCCCGGTCCAGAGGAGGAAGCTGAGGCTGGGTGGCAGACGGCAGCCCCATGCATGGGCCACACACACTGGGCAGCTGTGTCTGCCACATGTGGGCCGAGCAGGGTGGCGAGGAAGCTTCCTTCTCACTTGTGGGTTTGCTGCAGGACAGACAGGGAGGTGGCCCAGGACGGGGAGCCTGTGACATCATGCGGCCGCAGGTCAGCCTCAAACACAGGTTTGACCTTCCAGGCCAGAAGCACGGCTCAGCCACCCTTGACACGGTCTCTAATACCATCCTCCACCTCGCAGCTCCGGCAGCAGTGGCCAGAGATGAAAACTGAGAGACGTATCTCCCACCTGGCAGGGCCCTTCCTTTCCTGGCCCATTCAGACACCTGCCCCCCCAGCTTACAGGGACCATGTGTCAACCACAGTGTGACCCTTGACCTGGTACCACCCAGAGCTCCTATGGAGCCGCCCAACAGATGTGTTGGCCCCAGGGTCCCTGCACCCCTCCTGCTCTGCTTGTGCCCCTGACCTCCAAGTGTGTGTGTGGGCACCAGGCCTGCCGTGTCCCCACCAAGGTCTGTAAGTACCGAAAGATCTCCAGCTTCCACGTTGTGGTTGTATCACGGAAACCCTGCCCCAATTCTGCCTAATGCCTCAGCTGGCCCTCAGGGACCCACACAGGGGATGGATCCCTTGCTCCTCGGCCACGGCCTCCTGGCTGCTGAGACCGGAGCTGCCAGCTGGGTGGTTTCATTTTAAATGCCCACTCCTGCCCCCGGGCTCCCATCCCCTGGGCCGTGCTCCCTGGGTTCCTCCCCACTTGGCTGTGCTCCCTGGACTCCTCTCCCCTGGGCTGTGCCCCTGCTCCCTGGGCTGTGCTCCCTGGCCTCCTCCCTCCTGGGCTGAGCCCCTGCTCCCTGGGCTGTGCCCCCTGGACTCCTCTCCCCTGGGCTATACCCCTGCTCCCTGGGCTGTGCTCCCTGGGCTCCTCTCCCCTGGGCTGTGCCCCTGCTCCCTGGGCTGTGCTCCCTGGGCTGAGCCCCTGCTCCCTGGGCTGTGCTCCCTGGACTCCTCTCCCCTGGGCTGTGCCCCTGCTCCCTGGGCTGTGCTCCCTGGCCTCCTCCCTCCTGGGCTGAGCCCCTGCTCCCTGGGCTGTGCCCCCTGGACTCCTCTCCCCTGGGCTGTGCCCCTGCTCCCTGGGCTGTGCTCCCTGGGCTCCTCTCCCCTGGGCTGTGTCCCTGCTCCCTGGGCTGTGCTCCCTGGGCTCCTTCCTCCTGAGATGTGCTCCTGCTCCCTGGGCTCCTCTCCCCTGGGCTGTACTCCCTGGACTCCTCTCCCCTGGGCTGTGCCCCTGCTCCCTGGGCTCCTCCCTCCTGGGCTGAGCCCCTGCTCCCTCGGCTGTGCTCCCTGGACTCCTCTCCCCTGGGATGTGCCCCTGCTCCCTGGGCTGTGCTCCCTAGGCTCCCTCCTCCTGGGCTGTGCTCCTGCTCCCTGGGCTGTGCTCCCGCTCTCTGGGCTGTACTCCCTGGGCTCACAGGCTCGGCCCACTTTGCCCTCCAGTGGAGCTTGTTCCTCCCAAGCCAGGTGACCTGACCGAGACCAGCAGGGCCACCTCTCTGGCCTCAGCTTCCTTGCAGCTCCAAGGCAAAGGCAGTAACTATGCACGTGCCTGTCGAGGGGAGAAAAGGAGAAACTGGATATGAAAGTCCCGCTCCTGAATCAGTCATGAGGGAAACAGCTATTTTAAGCACAAAGGTGCAGCCTGGGTGACCCAGAGAGATGGGCCCAGCAAATTCCCACTGTGTTCCGGCCCATTTTGGAGCATGTGGTAACCGCTCCTTCCTATGAGGACTCTGAACTGAGGCCCACACAGGGTTTCTTTCATCCTTCGGTGGCAGTGGAGATGAATCCAAGGCATTGGGTGAGGCACAGAGGAATCTGAGCATGCGGGCAGGGCTGGTCTCAGTATGGCTTCACCCCTCTGCCACTGAAGCCTGGAGTCAACTGGCCCTAGCAGAATCGGCTTCCCCACGGCAGGGAGAGTAGAATCCCTCCCCAAGCTCTCAGGAGCCTCCAGCTGCTGTGTGCACTGGGCTCCTCCAGGTTCTCCAATCAGCGGCCATCTCCCTCCCAACTCTGGCCTCGGGGAGGATGGTCTGTTCAATCCTCAGCATCTCTCTCTCCTTCAAAGCCACTGTGAGCAGACCCAGCATGGTCTGGAGCCCCAGAGACTCTCCAGCCCTAACCCTTCCCAGAGAAAAGGCCACCGCTAAGCTGGGCCCCTGCTGGTCTCAGACAAAGTAGACGGGGCCTGGGGAGCTGCCACAGCCCTGGCGGGGGGCGTCCTCCCACCATCTGGCCAGGGCACGAGCAGCCTCCTTGGGACCGAGGCAGCTTCTACTGACATCTGTGGTGCAGCAGCTGCTCTCAGCGGCCCCCACCGAAGGCCAGACAGCAGGCCTGAGAGATCAGCACGATTTAGGAGAACCCCCCTGCCTTAAAATGTAGGTTTTATTTTCACACAGGTGGGTTAGATCAGGAGATGCCTGCCATTGATTAGACCATTACACTTCCCAAGAGGGGGAGAGGCATGCCACACCAGGGGTCCATGCAGGGAAAGGCCAGTGTCTCAGGCAGACGACGTGAAGAAGAAATATGAGCAGAGCCAGGCAGTACCTTCCTCAGCAAAGGTGGGGAAAGCTGAGTGGGCAGGCTTGGCACTGGCCTGCGGGAATACAGGCCTGCCCTGACTGTCTGGGGTCAGGCCCCGAGATGATTCCTGCAGGGGATGTGGCCTTGAGCCTGGAAGCACAGAGGAGATGCTGGGGGTGGGCCCCAGGTCAGTGGGCTTGCGTTTGAAAGGCAACCAAAGGCAAGCGTTTCTGATCTCTAGGAAGTGGCTGGTGCAGGAGGGGCATCTCCCCAGGGTCAGCAAGGCCCCAGCATGAAAGCGTTGGAAACACACAGTTCTCACACATGTAGTGCACGTGTGCACACACACACAGGCAGTCACACACATGCATACCACATACACACATGCAACAGAGGCATGCACACATGCACATGCAGACATGCAAACATATACACACATGCACTCATGTACACAGAGTGAACACATACATACATACCACATACAAATGCACACACAGAGGCATGCACACACATGCACACACACATGCAGGCACATACTCATGTACACATAGTGCACATACCACATACACAGACATGCACACACTCATGTACACACACGCAAACCAGAGACATACCACATACACACACATGCATGCACACACCCACCACACACATACCACATACATGCATACATACCACATACATGCACACACAAGCATGCACACACATGCCACACACACACAGCACAGGCACACACCACATACACAAATTCACACATACCACATATACATATGCACACATACCATATACACAGAGGCATACAGACATACCACATACACAATGCACACACACAGGCATGCACACATACATACTGCATGCACACATGCACACACAGACATGCAGGTGCACATACACTCATACATGCAGTGCACACACACACACATATACCACATACACACAGAGGCATGCACACATGCACACAGACATGCAGGTGCACATGCATACACACATGAACACACTTGTACACACATGTAGTACACACATACACATACAGCATACATGCTCAGAGGCACACACAGACATGCAGGCACACACACATGCACACACATGTACTCAGGCATGCACACATGCACACACACAGAGGAGAAGGCATGCTGGGTGGACACTTGGACAGAGACCTGTAGGCCCAGGGTGACTGTCTAGCCCCAACTGGGCCCCCAGTGCTCCTGAAACCCTCACCCTGGGCCAGGCTTGGCATGTGGGGCCAAGCACTCCCCATCAGAGGCCCAAGGTAGGAAGACTGCCGTGTACTGAACCATTTAACCCCCCAAATCAGATAGGGTGTGAGCATGCAGCCCTGTGGTGGCCAGGTCTGCACTCTGCGCTCCTGAAAGCCACGGGCCTGGGCCCTCGGGACGCTGGTGGGCATCCTCCAGATTGTGTGAGGGCTCAGGCCAAGAGCACTGTGAGCTGTGGGCCTCCCCACAGCCTGTCCTGGGCCCTGCGTCCAGCCAGCAGATCCCTTTGGTCCGCACAGGACAGGTCAGCTCAGCCCAGTAAACATCCTTCAGACCCAGCACCAGCATACGGTCCTGCCCAGGCAGGGGGAGCCCATGTGACATGCACAATCATAGAATCATAGCAAAGTCAGCAAAACCCAAACAAAAGTCCGCATCAAACCATCTTAGTCCCAACTAATGGAGTCCAGAAATGCCATTGCTCCCAAGTCCCCAGTGGCACGGCACACTCCCTGCCAAAGGGAAGTCGCTCTGTGCCAGGCACTTGACTGCTGCAGAGGGCTCGTGCTGCCCTGAGCGGGGTGGCCGGGCAGCAAGCTGGCGAGGAAGCCAGAGCCTGTGCTGCTGGAAAGTGAGAGGCCACATCTGGGGAGAAACCCAGGCTCGGCCGCCTGCAGTGAGGGCAGCAGCCCCTGCCCAGGAGCCCAGCACCAGGCCGGCGCTGAGGGCCTTCTGAAGATGCTGCTGGACATCATTGGGTTTTAGTGGCCACTGCTGGCTCCCTGTCAGCCAGACTCCCGGACACTAGGGCGCTGTCGTGTAAGGGGTCACCCATGGCACATAGACGCAGGGTCCTCAGATCTCAGGTCCAGGATCCAGGCCTGGACATCTCAGGAGCAGGGTCTGGACAGTGAGGACAGGGAGGCATCAATCGCCATGGCAACAAACATCACAGATAAGCCGCCCCCAGCACACCCAGATTCCAATCGGTGTCAGCATCCACTGCTGCAAATGTGAGGAACACACAGAGCCTCCTGCCAGGCTGAGATCAGCCAAGCTGCCTTCAGGTGGAGCTGCCATCCCGGTGGCCTTTAGGGCATGAGGCCCCCCAGGAAACCCCCCACAGGGCAGAGCCTGGGCTACAGGCAGCGCTGACTCGAGCTGCCTGGGGGGTGGCCTGGGACCCCTCCAAGCTGACGACCGAGTTTCATCCAGAACCCGGATACCCCGGAACTCTTCTCAGCCAGTGCTGCTCTCTACCTGCAGCGAAGCCCCTCAGTGGAGGCGAGGAACACCGGAACCAGCTCCTCCCAGCGTGGAATCTGAGGCCACAGGCTCAGCTGCGGTGTCATGGCCGCACCTGGCAGGGTGATCCTGCAGCAGCCGCTTGGGGTTGCCGTGGCGACCGCAGGCACCGTCTTCTCACTGAGCCGGCACAGGGGGCCCAGGCAAGGTGGGATCCAGCGGCCACGTCCACCGGCCCCGACCAGGGGCACGCAGCTGCGGAGCCCCAGCCAGGCAGCCCTTCTTCACTCACAAACGTGCTCTTCCTCTTCTGCCCCTCTCCTGGATCCACCTGAGACATGGGGTCACTGAGAGGACAGGCAGCTCCTTGGGGTGGCTGGGGATGCTGGGGAAGGCCTTCTGAGCCGTTTCTTAGTCCTTTCCTCACAGCCCGGAAAATGCAGCCACTGTGCGCCTGCGCCCCTCTCCCTGCCAGCGCCCTTACTCCACGCCGTCCCCTTCTTCCTCTCTGTCTCTTGGCCCCTGGAGCTGGTCTGTCCCTTCCTTCCATTCCCAGATACATGCTGAGCCAGCCCTTCCACGAGGGCTTCGCATCCCAGGCCTGGGCCTGGCTGAACAAGAGAGGGTCTCCAGCCCCACAGCTGGAGGGGAGCCTGGGCTGGGTATGGGCAGCAATCGGCCAGGCCACCACCCAGAAAGTCACATGCAGCAGGCACCCCCAGGAGGTCTGTGAGAGGTCCTGGCCCAGCCTTTGTTGAGCACAGAGAGGGATGGGGGGATGGCCCAGAGTGAGGGGTGTGCAGGGCACGGTGAGGAGCCCAGCTAGCCAGGGGCTTTAGAAAGGAGAGGGCAGAGGCCCACTCAGGGTCAATGGGCGGGCTGTACCCAACTGTGCCCACTGTCCGACAGCCACACCACCGCGAAATCCATCTAGGCAGGGGCTCTCGAACCCCCAAAGGGGCACCGCACCACTTGAGACCCGCCTCTGCCTCCTGAAAGCTGTGCCATCAGACACCACCACGCTGGCATACTGGTGCTCCCTGCAGTCTCCCGGATGACTGGAAACCCAGCTGCTGTCCCCACAGAAGTGTCGACGGGTTTGCGTGATCTCCCAGCACTGGGTGCACTTACCACCCCACACCCAAAATACTCTGAGCTAAGTGAGGGCCTGGCTGTTATTTCCAGGAGCACCAGCCACGGTTAGCAAGGCCAAACCCGACCCTCCAGCCACACCTGCTCCCAGGCGAGGTGCCAGAGCCACACACACAGCCCACCCAACTCCTCCAGCCGGAGGCATAGCCGAGGGTTCCGGAGGACGCCCACTGCCCCTTTGACAGCTCCAGGAAGGCAGGGCTCAGGGCCACGCAGCTCAGGTACCAGGTCCACAGTTTAATGCTGGGAAAAGTTAGAAAATAGTCTCTCAGTCACGGTAGCAAAGAAGCACAGTAACCACAGGAACAGCAAAATACAGGAGACCCTAGACGGGTAGGATCTCAACTTCGCTCGCAATTAGTCTGAAAATGTAATTCCTACCCAATCCCAGTGGGTTTATTTTTGACCTTGACAAGACATAGTCAAAAGTCCATGTGGAAAAACAAACACAGGAGAAGAGCCGGCATTTTTGGCAAAGCATGGAAGAGGACGAGGCGGCCGTCCCTGGAACCTGCGGCCTCCCCGGTCAGCACAGCCTGGGGGGCACAGTGCGGGAGGCCCAGAGAGGCCTGCGTGTGGCCATGTGCCCAAAAGGCTGTCCACAAGCAGCTCCAGACCAGGAGCCCACAGATTTAAAAACGCTGAATTCCAGCCACGCGCAGTAGCTCACACCTATAATCTCAGCACTTTGGGAGGCAGAGGCAGGTGGATCCCTTGAGGTCAGGAGTTTGAGACCAGCCTGGCCAACATAGCAAAACTCTGTCTCTACTAAAAATATATATATAAAAAAAAATTATCTGGGCGTGGTGGCACGAGCCTGTAGTCCCGGCTGCTCAGGAGGCTGAGGCATGAGAATCACTTGAACCTGGGAGGCAGAGCTTGCAGTGAGCCGAGATCACGCCATTGCACTTTAGCTTGGGTGACAGAGTGAGACTCTGACTCAAAAAAAAAAGGGGGGACTGCATTCCATTTTCCAGACAGACTCCATTTTCCCACAGAACAGAATGTTCCTTGCACTGATCGTGGATGAGGCTGCACTCACCAGGAAACAAAGGCCAACGAGAAACCAAGTCCCCACTGGGTGTGGGAGTGGCCTTCAAGCATGTGTGGGGGCCCGAGCCGGTGCCCACCCACAGGGCCGGAGTGGGGGAGTGCCGCAGGACAGAGGGCACCCAGGGTGCAGGGCCGAGGGGCACCACACTCTGAACCGTTGACTATGTGGAAAGGAAGCCACTGGCAAACGGCACCTGAGGGGGGCTCTCTGTGAACTCCCATCATCCACCTAAAAACAGACCCTCCCAGAAGAACCGGTACCGCAGCCCCCAGCTGCAGAGAAGGGACCTTCCCCCAGGAGAGGAGCCAGGATCCACCCCCGCCTCAGGCTCGGTCACAAACTGTTACAGCCCCGGTTGCTTCTTCGAGTGCTCTGCAGTCTCCCCTAAAAGCTGCCTGCCCCCCACGAGGACCACCGCCCTCCGCTTCTCCTGTCCAGCCTGCCCATCAGCCCTCAGGGCCCACCCTGCTTTGGGTGTTTTCCTTTCTCCCCAGGACACCCTGCACACATAACAATAATAATAAACCCGTCTGCTTTTCCTCCGCCCTGAACCCACTGTCAGCACATCTCATGCACCCGGCTCTCAGCCTCGGAGGGCAGCAGGAGGGACAGCTCCTCCATGGAGCCTTTGGTTCAGGAAACCTTGGCCCAGAGGATAGGCAAACGCTGAACCCCACCCAGGGAACCACAGACCAGGAAAGGTCAAGGGCTTTAAGGAGTTCGGGTCCAGAAATGGGGCCCTCCTGACAGGCCAGAGGGGAAGGGGCTCGGCATGGGCTTGAGGTGGGTTCATGCCCAGCCCACCCTGCAGCAGGGTGTGCCCTGCAGCCAAGCCTGGTCCCAGAGAGACCCTGGGGCAGCGACATCCATCAAACCACCCACCAGCTCACAGAGGGATGGAGGAAGGGGCTGCCCCCATCTGTGGTCCCTGTGATCACAGTCCTCAGCCCGAGGTGACCGAAGCCTGAGGCTGGAAATCAATGTCCTGGGTTCCGAACAAGCAGTTAGGCAGTGCTGGGGGCAGCGAGCTTCTCAGACACTGCGGCCTTGGTAACCCCAGCTGGACGCTGAGAAGGCACCAGGCTTCTAATCACACTGAGCAGCCTGGGGGCAGGGAGGGTAGACAAATGTCTATGCCGGGGGTAGGGCAAGGTGGGGGCGGAAGGCGGGCTGGACAGATGTCCATGCCAGTGAGAAAAGGATTTTCTCCAGGCCCAGATTCTTTCCACCTACGTGGTTAGTCCTGGGATTAACTGTGGACCCCACTTGCTGGCACTGGCTGGACGGAATTGGGGAGCGCCATGTACTTCACACCCCAGAACTGCCCTTCAAAACAGTGAAAATAGTAAATTTTATGTATAATTCACTCTAATTTTTTAAAAATTGAAAGCAAAAAACAAAAACGAAAGCCAGGTCTAGATAATCCATTCCCAGGAGCGACAGCCCCGAGGGTGGCCCCGTGGCCCTGAGGGTGGAGTTGTGGCCTGGAGGGTGGCCCCGTGGCCCCGAGGGTGGAGTTGTGGCCTGGAGGGTGGCCCCGTGGCCCCAAGGGTGGAGTTGTGGCCTGGAGGGTGGCCCCGTGGCCCCGAGGGTGGAGTTGTGGCCTGGAGGGTGGCCCTGTGGCCCCGAGGGTGGAGTTGTGGCCTGGAGGGTGGTGCTGTGGTCCCGAGCGTGGAGCAGCTGCACCATGGCCATTTGGCAGGACTGGACGGGCCCAGTCGGACTCTGAACACTGCACCACTCCCGAATGGGTGGGCTCCGGTGTGCTGCCAAGGGTCCCACTCCTCGACCGAGAGCCATTTCACTCTGGTGGGTGTGGGCACAGCTGAGCCTGTCCTGCCACCTCCTGCAGGGACAGAGGGACGGCTGGGCCTCCACTCTTCTGCTGCAGTCCCTCTGAACTGAGGCCATGTGTGAACAGACGCAGCTGCACCCCAGCCACACACGGAGCTGCCCTTCTCAGCGTCCTTCCCACCATGGGGTCATGGCCTTGGCAGTGAAGAGCTGGAAGGACCCCTCCGGGTCGGTGACCGGCCTCATCCTCCCTTGGTGCCAGACACCCATCAGCAAGCGCCGCACAGAGCCCTGCAGGCCTGATGAAGAGGCCGATCGGGGAACAGGAAGGAACCCTCCAGGTTCACGGCTGTCCCGAATCTGAGCACGGCGGTTGTCTCCTGTTCCCCGCACTCCACAGCGGCGCATTTCCGGGCCAGCTGGCTTTTCCAAGGCTCTTAAGAACCAGTCCAAGGAATGGAACCCTGGGGGGTCTGCAGAAGGGGCCAGGGCTGAGGCTGCCCCCCTGTGCTCATCCCCAGGCAGGGATGTAGGGCCAGCAAAGGTGGGGGCGACGGGGAGACACTGGGGGCTTAGGAAACAGCACCTGTACCTGCCGGCTTCACCCCCAGGGCAGGTCTCTGCTCCTCAGATGCCCTCAGCCTGGCCCTCTCCAGACGTGCTGGCCCAGCCCAGGCTTCCCAGCCTCCCTCCTCAAACCTGTTCTGGGTGCCTGGTGACTCCCAGGGTGTCCCTGTCTATGCCGCGTCTCCTGAAGCCAGTCGCAGCTGCCGTCCTCTGCTGCCAGAGTGGAGCCGTCTCCCCAAACCCCATCCTGCCTCCCCTGTGTACCCCCAGGGGCCTAGGGAACAGAACTTAGGCTCAGCTGGGAGGACAGGGGGGCCTGAGTCAGTCCCAACAGGCCTGAGCATCTCTGATGAACTCTGCCAGGTTCAGCACCTTACCTCGACGGTCAACTGGCCTCACCAGCAACAAAATGGCGCAGGTCCACGGGTGCCTCCCGACATGCAGGCACTAAAAAACACTCTCTCCTGGGTGCACGGGAGCCTTCTCAACGCACTGCGCAAAGAGGCTCATTTGCTGTGACTTTTCATCACCCCAAGCCCCAGGTAACCCAATGGAGCCATCGTGTGCGATACAATGAAATGGAGCTAATTAGTGGCATTCAAACACCCTCCGAGTTACGCTCTGGTAGAATGGCAATAGCTTTAAAAAGGGCTTATGGGGCTTAAATAGACAGTGTCCCGGCAGCTGTATGGAGAGGCACAGGAGGGAGGCAAAGCCCATCTGCTAAGCCTCCCGGGACAGCTGAAAAGAACCGTCCACTCAGAACTGATTCATCCCCAGCACAGCCGCGTGCAGAAGCCGGAGGGCTAATTCCAACTTTTCCAAGGGCTCGTTAAGCCTCTTTGAGTTGTAATTACCCCCAATCTCTAGATATTACGAGGCGGCAATCAGGAAGTTAGATCTGGCCAAGAGAAAACAAAAGGAGTGAAGGAACAGGCTCCGTCCAGGCCGGCAAGCAGGACAATCTGGAGGACGGAGCAGGATGTTCTCCGGACGGGCTGGAGACAGGGTTGGGGAGGAGGACAGGGACCCACCGAGGATGCAGGCTCAGCTCCCTTGGACGGGGCTGGAGACGGGGATGGGGAGGAGGACAGGGACCCACCAAGGATGCAGGCTCAGCTCCCTTGGACGGGGCTGGAGACGGGGATGGGGAGGAGGACAGGGACCTGCCGAGGATGCAGGCTCAGCTCCCTTGGACGGGGCTGGAGACGGGGATGGGGAGGAGGACAGGGACCCGCCGAGGATGCAGGCTCAGCTCCCTTGGACGGGGCTGGAGATGGGGATGGGGAGGAGGACAGGGACCCGCCGAGGATGCAGGCTCAGCTCCCTTGGACGGGGCTGGAGATGGGGATGGGGAGGAGGACAGGGACCCGCCGAGGATGCAGGCTAAGCTCCCTTGGATGGGGCTGGAGACGGGGTTGGGGAGGAGGACAGGGACCCGCCAAGGATGCAGGCTCAGCAGCCACGCTCCGTCCTGTCCCCCACGGGCCTTGAGGAGCAGGCGCAGGCAGAGCCTGGCCTCTCGGCTCCAGTTCAGCCAAAGCTGTGATGTGTCCTCCCGGGGGCTCCTGGATGCTGTAGTGTTGCTGACACCATGGGGCCCAGTCTGACGCCAGCACAGCAGGCTGGCTCCGAGGGAGGAGTGCCCACGCCCTCCCTAAAAGACCTGGAGCCCCTGCGTGGGTAAGACTGCTTCTCCCAAGGAGGATGGGCAGGCAGGCTCAGGGAACAGCATGCCCAACTCCACGGTTCTGCCCCTGCCCCCTCAGCCCAGCCCCTGCCCAGGCCTTGCCTTACCTTGCCAAAGCTGCCCTTCCCAATGGCCCGAAGGATCTGGAAATGGTCGAAGTTCACTGCAGAATAAAACAGAGGGACACCCGGTGAGGTGGCAGCAAGGTCCCACTTGGCACAAGCCCCCACCCCGAGCAGTTCTTCCACCTCCACACCCGCTTGACGCTGCCCAGGGCCCTTCACCCAAGAAGAGAGTCAGGCGTGCAGTGGCTTGAAACTGAACTCTGGCTCCTGTTCGAGGCAGGAGGGGGCTGAGCCCTGGCCAGTCAAGAGACGGGCTTTGGGTCATGCACATCCTGTTCCCAGGACTGCCAAGGGATCAGGTGTGTGCCCAGCGACAGCAGGGAAGGGGTAAGAACGAGCCGCACACGCCTGAGTCCCAGACACGACTGGGCTGCGGTCCTGGGCACCAGCCAACCCCACTGAAAGCTGCTGCGACCAGTGAAGACCCCAGCCAGGCAGGCCTGGGATTTGCAGGGAAGCCGCACACGTATGAGCCCCCATTCCTGGTTCCCCCTCCACCTCGAGCACCTCCAGAGGACGGGGGCGTTGGCCCTGGCTGGGCAAGCCTGGGGGAGTCTGCAAGCAGTCCCAAGATGAACAGCAAGAGGAGGCTGAGGACGGCAGCTATGCCCACCTTGACCAGCGTGACCCAGGAGTACCAGCGTCCAGCACAAGGGCTGTTCCGCAGGCCTGCACCGAGACGCAGAAGGCGCTGTTTCCCACACCTGTGAGCGCCTCCGGGAGAAAGACGGACGCTCTAATTGTCACTGGAGAGACCTGCCCGTGTGCCCTGCCAGGGGAGCCTCTATCCACACCAAGGAGAGGGACGGTCTCCACTTGCCTTTCAAACCCAGGACATTCCTCGTACATGTAAGACGGGGGTCCCCACAGGGTCACCCACTGGCCTCCAGGACAGGCCCCTCCAGATGACTTCCAGCCAGCAGCTGCCTCCACCTCTATCCCCAGGCCTGTGTCCCAGATTCTGTACCCTGAGCCTGCGTCCCAGGGCTGCACCCCGCAGTGTACCGCACCCGTGAAGGGCTTGCACAAGGCTCCCACTGTAGTCCTGTGCCCTGGAACAAGGTTAGGACACACACTGGCTCACGACATTTCACCGATTCACCCACTTACAGCCAACTCATATTCACTTACTCTCTGGGGAATTCCACAGGTGGAATCCCCTGCCCCACACACAAATGGTTATCTTAAAGGCAGGGAAGACACAGCCACGGCCTGAGGCAGACACAGGAAGACATCGGGGCAGGCACTGACCACCCCTGGGGGGGCGCGGCTGGAGTCTCGTCTCTCTGCTCCCTGGGGGTGCCCTTGTGCTGTGTTGTGGGCAAGTGCTTGAGGCACTCGGTGTGTGGAGGAGGGGACAGAACAGTTTCTAGACGGATAAAGGGTTTTCTCAAATTTTCATCTGAACTGGAAAATGCCAGCTCCCTTCACAGGGTGCCCCAGGGCAGCACCAGGGTTCAGTGTAGACACAGCAAGCAAAGTGTCCATCCTCACGGACCTTGGGGACAGTCACGCACCCAGAGGTCTTTCAGCCTAAGCTACGGGAGCACAGGGCAGAGCCAGCATGAAGCTGCAGGGTTGCAGCCTGGGGAGAGGACGCCTGTGCTGGGTCCTCCAGGATGAGTGGGCACTGGGAAGGGGGTACCCAGGTGAGGGGCCAGCCTGGGCACAGGCAGGAAAAAGACCCCAGGGTGGGGATGGACCCACAAACTGGTCCATGGGCGAAGTGGGAGGGCGGTCAGCAGGCGACCTGGGGGTGAGGATGGGGCCGTGACCTGTGGCCAGGCCTTGGTCTCCTCTGCACAAGACAGCAGTGGGGCTTAAGTCTGCATGGGTGGGGAGAGCAGTGTGATTTAAGTGCCCGAGAAAGACACCACTGCAGGTTCCCAGGGGGGCACTGACTGGCACAGGGGTCAGGACCGGGTTGACTGAGTGGGTGGGGCTTTAAGGGGTGAGAGAGGAGGCTGCCAGGCATCAGACGTAGGCAGTGGGCAAAGAGGCTGCAGAGAATGGGCCGTGCTCCTCAGACAAGACCCGTGGCCAACACCCCAAGCTGGCACAGCCTCCATGAGCCCCAGCTCCAGGCATCAGCCTCCCCAGCCTCTTCCTCAGGAAAACCTACACACGCCCAAACAGAGATTATGTCATCAAGGCGGAGGCTGTTCTGGCACCCGTGAAGCCGCTCCAAGGCAGCCCAGCCCGTGGCCATCTGGCATCATCCTGACTTCACCAGAGGTTAAGGGAAAATTGGCTCCAAACCAGCACATGTGATGGACGGGGCTGAACCGGAGGAGGGAGGGGGAGTGAGAGGGCGGCAGGGCTGTGGCAGGGGAGACGGGACACCAAGGCCATCCAGCAGCCAACCCCAAGGGGATGGACCTCGGAGTCTGGGGGGCCCACAGTGGGGGGAGGACGGGGTGTCGGGGCAAGGTCCAGGGCTGAGCCAGCCTGTAGCGGGGAGATCCCATAAGCACCAGGCAGGAGCAAAAAGCCTCGGCCTGTTTCCATGTAAATAAGGAAGAAGAAAGAACTAGAAATACAACTGTAGTAGTTAATAGTTATTCATGTGTGATCTTAGTTATTCACAGGGGATCTTAACTCTTTTACAAATGCCTCTCAGGTCGGAAGTGTGAACCTGGGGTGACACTGAAACGAATGACACGAAGGCAAGACACTCTAAGCCCTCTGTCACGCCGCATCAGGGCTGCTGGGAAACCCCTCTGTTTAGCCAGCTAGGGGAGGAGACGCCCGAGATGGCCGAGACGTCCCCTTCCTGGGGAAGTTTGGAGAAGACTCCGCTTCTCCAAGCTGTTGTGGTGAGGCCTGACGGTTAGACGCCCGCAGACACCCGGGGCTCAACTGTCCCTATGTGAGGCTGTGCTTCAGCGGTCACGTTCCATGTCCACTCTCACGCTCTGCTCCTGCACCTGGTTCCTTTTGTCTTAGTAAAGATCATCAGCAACAGTAACGCAAATCCTAACGTTTTAGTTCTTTCTCGGTAAGATGGAAAAGGTGCTGATGCACTGTGCTCCTTACCTCACTTCCGGTGCCCGAAATTCCTGCGCCCCTCCCTGAATGAGGATGTACTTGTCCCTATCACCACCACACCCCATCCACCCTGCCCCAGTCTCCGACCACCAAGACCACTAAGACCACCAAGACCACGCCCTACCTGCCCCGCCCGGATTTGCAGCTCAATGAAAGTGAGAGCATCGGCGCTGGGGGCCACTGCCGGTGCCTGAGACCTGGGTAGCAGTGGACCCCTGGGCCCAGACTCCCTTTCTCTATCTCTGTGTCTTGTGTCTTTGTGACCCTATACTGGCTGCCTGCAGCTTGGGGAGATGAACTCGGCTGGGTGGCTCTGGGTCCAGGGACCCTCTGCCTACCCAGGTTCCACCCAGGCCCAGGCTACCACTGCCCAGAGACTCCTGTGCTCCTTCTTGTAGTGTCCAGTAGAGGCAGAAGAGCCCCAGTGGGCACAGGAGCCCATGGTCGGGGCAGCCTCGGCCATTCCCAACAGAGCTGAGGGCGAAGGTGGTGGTCCACATCCACGCCCACACCCAGGACAGCCACGTGGCAGCTGCTGTGCCAGGACTCTGACCTTGGTATGTGGCACATGGGCACCTGGAGTCTAGTCCTGCATTGCCCTGGGAGACGCAGCCAGCATCTTCCTGCCCATGGGCATGTGCTGTGGCAGACTCCCCCAGGACCCCAAGAAGCCCGCACAGCGTGAAGCCCTAAGCCTCAGGCCCCCCAGCTGTGAACTAGCAAGGGAGCCCAGCCACCATCACCTCCACCTTAGAGAACAGGAACAGCCCTTCCCAGAGAGGAAAAGGATGGAAACAAAATATATTAACTAACAAGCCATAAGGGAGTCTCAGCAACTGTCACCCACACCTGCACACCGGTGAAGCCAGGGCCTCCCGAGGGTGTGAGGGAGAAGGTGGCTCAGGCAGGGGCTCCCGGGCAGGAAGCAGCAGCAGGGCAAGTGTGAGCTGGGGCACAGCTGTGGGGTCCAGAGCATGATGGGGTGGGCTTGGGGTCAGGGGAGTGCCAGGGGTAGGGCTGTAGATCAGAACATGTGGGGCACGGCTGGGGGGTTGGGGGTGCTGTCGGGGGGGCTGTGAGCTTAAGGACATGTGGCCCCCACTTGGCAGTGCCTGTGGTTCAAACACAACTGTCCCTGCTTCCCAAGACTGACCAGGAGGGCAGCCACAGGGACATGCGGTACCCGGGACGGCCAGGCAGACACTGCACAGGGAAGGTGCGGATGGGGCAGGAATCCCGGTGTGGCTTCAGGACGGCTTTCGAGCTGTGGGTGGGGCTCACCACACAAACGCCCATGAGAAGCCCCCAGCCAAGTGGTCCCTGCTGGCTACTTGGTATCCCCATATTCACAGGGATCCCTGCTCAGGGACCCACTGGCCCAGACCCCGCCAGGTGAGCCGCGGGCACAGGCAGGGCCTGACCGGCATGGTGGCTGTCCTCTGGGTGACCATGGCTCCACCCTGATGTCCCACTCCTGCTGTCTCCCAGCGCCCACCTGGCTGGGGCGAGACACAGCTGGCCTTACACAGGGACCCTCACACCCTCCCCATTGCAACCCCAAAGCCTCCAACCCAGACACGGCTGGAGGGAGTGGAACCAGAGACCCAGTGGCTGTTTCAGGTCCTTGCCCCCAGCGCCTGCCTTTAGCACCCCATGGGGGTCTCCACACTGCCCTGGGCAGGGCCAGGACCTCCCATGACCACGGGCCCTGCCCCACCAGGCCCAGGCTTCAGCTCCATTCCCAGTTCCCAAAGGAGAGGTCAGCTCTGGTTCCAACACTCGGTGGAGGCCGTGAGGAGAAGGAAGTGCACCGGCAGAAACCTGTCACCACAGTCACCCTGTGGCTTGAGGGGAGCCATATGTAATCAGCTGTGTCCCAGGAGTGGCCCTGCAAACACCAGACAGGAGCTGTCTACAGAGTCCATCCAAGTCCCTCTCACGAGAGTTCCTGGAGCTGCCCCCAAACTGGCTCCAAACCAGGGGAGGGAAG